TCATTGCCGAAAAGGTAACTAAATTAATTAATTGGGTAATTCATCGCCGAAAAGCATTGTAAATTAGTAACGGTAACTTTTTTTTTTTTTTTTTGCTTTCACTCTCTCTTTTTCTCGCATCTTCTACATATGCTTCAAGGGGCCGTCCGCCATTACTGCTTTTCCTCTTGTGTCACCTGGTTGCAATGTAAGAAAATTGAAGAGTAGAAGTCCATCATTGAAGACCATTCAAAGCTTCGCTTTCGAAAATAAAATTTTTTGAGTTTGTTAGTCGTTTGGATTGGGTGTTGTTCCAATTGATTGAAAATATCAAAATGAGTTCAAAATTTAAATTTGAAGTAGATTTGAGCAAGATTTGAGTTAAATTTCAGAAAAGACGCAAGAAAGAAGAAGAAATCAGTTTTTTGTATAATTATGTATAATCTTGTATAATAGTGTATATGAGTGTATAAACACATCTTATACACTTTATACACCTTTATACAAGCTTTTGTAAACGAACTTCTTCCACGATTTTCAGTTGCAACTCTTGTTCAAAACCCGTCCAAATTTCCATTAAATGACTTCAATTTTATATACAACCTCCTTATATTATTTCTAACAAGTCTAAATAACACCCACTCCAAATTTCTCACAAAATCAAATTCGAAATTTGAACCCGCATATTTAAGCTTGTTAAAAATCTAATTTTCACCACCCACATGGATTTGGCTTGTTGAACTAATATTTGAGTCACAGTTTCTGATTCGAAAATTAATTTAAAAGCTTGAGTACTCTTTTTTAAAAATTGAATAGTAATTTCGAGAACCTATTGGAGTTGGATGTTGAATCTTAGCCTATTATTTTTAGGCTAGTTGGTTGTAAATTAAAATATGGGCTACAAAATTAAAAAGTAGGGAGCCCAGTTATTTTTATATGAAATTTTTTCATTAATAAATTACCGTTAGTAATTTACTATGGGCTAATAGGTGCAAAGAAAATTTTAAAATATGTACAACCTGGGCCAAACCAGGTTAGGTCTTCAAATATGGATCATTTTCGGATGCGTTGTAGGCTGAAGTGATATCTGATGAGAAATTTTCACAAACCATTATTGTTTAGTGGTTATTAGCTAGTTGTAGCTACCATTTATTATATCACTTCCTAAAGCTATGTGTTCAGTTTTTTTTGGAGTGTATTCGATGTATTTAAGCTATTGTATTCATGAATACAGTAGCAAAACTCGGCGTGAAACAGGGGATTCCAGCTAGACAATTTTGTATTCGACTGTATTCACGATATGTATTTGTGAATACAGTAACGTAAATAGCGCAAATCGTGGTCTATTCAGCTGTTTTTAAACGGAAAGTGAATCAATTAACACAATAGACTCCTAATATAACTCAATTACATCACCCATAATCTGTATTTAACGCGAAATATGCTGAAAATTTTTCAACAGAGCAATTGCCGAGTTCCCTAATCCTTCCCTTTTTTTTTGATATCGTTCGTGGGTGTTTCTGTTTTCAACCAATAAAATTCGAGATTCATCTATAGTGCAAAAACATATGAATATATACTGCAGATACATTTGAATACATATATACATCTGAATACATAAATTATATTAATTAAAAAATATATAAATACATTCATGGAATACAGCGAGACAGTGAATACAATGAAATAGATGGAATACAGCGAGATACTTTGGAATACAATGAAAAAAAAGACAATGAATACAATGAAATACATGGAAATACAACGAGATTGTTGGACTTTAAGCCATTGGGCTTTAAAGTAGAAGAAGTGTGAATTGGAAATGGAGGGAAATAAAATGGAGGGAAAAATGAAAATTTGAAGAAGTAAACTTTTGTCTTATACTTTGTCCCCCATTGGTGAGGGACAACCACATTTGTGTGCTTATATATAGAATCACTTCTTAAAGCTCTTAAAAGGAGTTGAAGAGAATTAACCCCCGCGCCGTCGTCGTCGCTCGCTCGGCTCGGCTTCGGCTTTGGATTTGGATTTGGATAATTAATTAAATGCCAAATCACTGCTGAAAATACGCCAGAACCCCGCTGAAGGTTCAGAGGGCCTCTCTGGCCGCGGTAGAACCGCGGCAGGCAGGTTCAGAAAGCCTCTCTGACCGCGGTTCTGCCGCGACCGCAGTAGAACCGCGGCAGGCAGCGAATTCTTCTGAAAAGGCACCTTTTCCAGACACCTCTTCTGATAATTGCCTATAAATTCTGAGGCAAGGCTCCATTTTCTACACACGAAAACACTCCAGAACTTCTTTCTTTCTGAATATACTGCATCCTAATTCGCAGTCTCTCTCTCTCAAATTCGTAAGTGTGATTTTGCTCCGTTCTTTGAGTTCGTTGGTATCCCGCAGTTTGTATTGCCATTGTTGCAGGAAGGTTTATTCCGTTTTATCCTGGGAGGATTTAATCCATTACCTTGGCAACGTGTGAGGGGGTTAAAATTCCTTAAGGACACACAAGCAAATTGTGGACTCGAAATATTTCTTAAACTCTACTATTTTTCCAGATTTCTTTAATTCTTCTAACAGTTTTGTTTTCCTGATTTAGTGTTTTAACACAGTAACGCTCACAAGCTTAAGGAAATTTATAACACTAACGTTTCTGTGTTGAAACATATATTAAACTGTTATTCATATTTTGTATACTGTTTTGGAGACTAAAGCCTTGTTGCTTTCTACTCCAATAATTCTTTCTGTCCGGTTTAAAGTACATAAAAACTTTGCCGGAATAATAAACGTACGGGTTTGAAGTATATAAAAACTTCACCATTGTTACGTGTTGTATGTTTGGTTTGATATTCAGTTTGAAGATATCAAAACTTCACTGATTTAATAAAGTTCTGTATTGTTTTCAACTTTATAGAAATATGACGAATGAAAACCAAACTAATGGAAGTGTTGCGGGAACGGGTGCTACTGTTACGAGTGTTGCTGCCTCGTCAAGCCGTTCTACTCCTGCTCATGCTATGGCACCGGCAGAAAAACCCGGAAAGTTTTCTGGTATTGACTTCAAACGCTGGCAAATGAAGATGCTCTTCTATCTTACTACGTTGAGTTTGCAACGTTTCATCAAGGAGGATCCTCCGGTCATGGCTGAAAATACTCCGGATGATGAACGACTTGTTGTAACTGAAGCATGGAAACATTCTGATTTCCTGTGCAAAAATTACATTTTGAGTTGTTTGGAAGATGGCTTGTACAATGTCTATAGTGTCATGGAAACTTCAAAAGCGTTATGGAATGCGCTTGAGAAGAAGTACAAGACTGAGGATGCCGGACTTAAGAAGTTCGTGGCTGCAAGGTTCTTGGATTTCAAGATGATTGACACTAGGTCGGTCATAACTCAAGTCCAAGAACTACAAGTCATTGTACATGACCTCCTTGCTGAAGGTATGACCCAAATCAATAATTTTATTAATAAGATTTATCTTATTATTAATAATGAATTTGTTATTGAAGGTATGGTCATAAATGAGGCCTTTCAAGTCGCTGCTTTCATTGAGAAGTTACCTCCGCTGTGGAAGGATTTTAAGAACTATCTTAAACACAAACGGAAGGAAATGACACTAGAAGACTTGATTGTTCGTTTGAGGATAGAAGAGGACAACAAAAATGCTGAAAAGAAGTCANAGGAATTTTGCCTTCAATATTTAATAAAATATGTTTCAATTTAATATATATATATATATATATATATATATATATATATATTATTTGTACTTGTAAAATGCAGTGGTGATACAGATGGAAGAGTACCTGTAACTTCTTCAAAGATATCTATAAAGGCAATGGAGCTTACAGTAGAAAACCTTGGCGCTCTTGGTTGTACGGAGGAGAGGTAATTAAGAAATTAAAATCATTCATTAATTTTAATAGTGAAAATTAATAACTTCATTTGGATATTGTAGGTTGGAGGATACATAGAAACATATAAAGGAGGTCTAACATTTGCAACAGTAAGAGGAGCAGGACATGAAGTTCCAAGTTACCAACCTGCTAGAGCCCTTTCTCTTATTTCTCACTTCCTTTCTGGCACAGCACCTCCAGGAGATGCTTAAATTAGTTAATCAAGCTGATGATCCTTTTGTGTAATTAATTATGATATTATTAATCATTTCATGAGCTTGCTTAGCCAAATTATGATATTTAAAAGCTCTATGATGTGAGATAATCATGAACGAAGTAGATTTCCAACATGAATATGCAAGTCTCTCCTTTATAGTTGTTGGTTGCCAACATCGGATGGGGAGTAGACACTTTGACTCTTTGTATCGTCTTGACCAATTAAATACGTATAAATATTAAATTTAGAATTCAGTCATTCATAAAAGTTTAAATCCTAGCTCTGTCTTTGATTAAATGTAACAATTTGCTCTCATTAGTGACACACATTAACGGGGTAGGGTAAAATCTCGGAAGTATGCTAAACGGGTAAGGCAAGGCAAGTTAAATCTTTAGCTAAGTTAAGGCTTAGTTAAATCTTTAGCGAGTTAAGGCTTACGCTACCCTGCCTCCTACCTCCCCATTTACATCCATAACAATGGCGAAGCTAGGGGGCTGACAGGGTTCATTCGAACCCCCTTCGCCGAAAAATTATACCGTGTATATAAAATTAATTTCTTTTTAATGTATATATGAGATGTTGAATTTTTAACTTTTTTTTTATTTTTTGAATCCCCTTAATTAAGATCCTAGCTCCGCCATTGATCCACAATTGCGGTATCAAACTCCTTAGTAAAAATTAAGCTCAAAGCAAGATTATAGTGGGTGGACACAAGGAAAAAGAGTCACAAGCCGGAACTGAAATGTTGTCTTTTTGGACTCAAAATACTTTTTTAGGTGGAAAAAAAACATAGTGACCAAAATATGTAAAACGCGGTTTTGAACCACGTTTTACCTTAACGGCATTTCGGTTCCGGACTCCAAGTAGGAAAGTAACAAGAATTTGTCTTGAAAAGAAACCAAACAATATATTCAACACTGATAATATCAACTTTTGCAGGACAGTTAACTTCTTCAATTCTGAAGCAACCTCAAACAGGTCCTAAAAGACAAGTAATCTTAATACTAAAAGAATGTATTCAACACTCCAACATGAGAAACTTCTCCCTTTTTTTGCCCTTTTTTTCCAACTAACCAAGGATCAGAATTTGTCTAGATAATCTAACATATTATAAATGAGCGCCAAACGATTCTGGCAAAAGAATGAAGATCATTGAACCTAATTTACATAATATACTACTAGAACAAACCTTAGACCTTGTAGTGAAAGAAAAACAGAATCTATCTGGTTAAATTAAGCTTGAAAATGAAGATGTGAACGCGTAAGGAATGTTGGCAAGAGGACCCCTCTGGCATGCGAGCTCGTGAATGTCCTTCACAATGTCGAAAACTGCATCAGGTTGTGCGAGTTTTAGTGCATTCTCTGACATTGTTTTGAGGTCATCGCTCTTAGTGCTAAACCACTCTGCAACAATTCGGGCTGTTTCCTTAGGACTTCGCGTGAAAACACCAGCTCCATTGTCCACAACGTATGGAACGTTTCCCTTTTCCTGCAAATACACAACAAAAAAATAATCAGTAAATTAAACAATGTCATATCAGCAACCGCTATGATAGCTATAGCAGTCGATAAATCAACTTCTTGATTTCACTAACTTGTCCAGGAATGTAGTCGTTGAGGATAATTGGAAGCCCTCTGATTAATGCTTCTGCAATTGTACCAGGTCCAGCCTACAAGCAAAAATAACTGAAGTTTAGTCCTGCTACATAGGCAATGCACGAAAAAGATTACAAGGCAACGCTAAAATAGGACTGCATCGACATACCTTTGTAATAATACAGTCACATGCACCCATCCACTTCTCCATCTGCTTCTGGAATCCTTTAATCTAGATAGCGAGAAGAGAAAAATTTCTAAATATTTTTCCATTGTTAAGTAAACCGGAGGTGTAATATAGTTTCGAAAGGCATTCATACTCCAAGAATCTAATTCTTTTTACCTTGACCGGGATGTTCCATTCGAGTGATTGTAATGTGGATGCTAGCTCTTCATTACGTCCACATATGACAACCATTTGACCAATAGGTTTCTCCATTTCTTTGTCGAAAAGAGCTTCTCCGAGAGCCTTTGCAGTTTTTTTCACGGGTCCCATCCCTTCACCTCCACCCATCAGCAACACTGCGGGCAACGTAGGATCCATCTCAAGCTCTACTCTGAGGTCATCCTATAGCAAGTATTAAGAAAACAATAAGAAAGAAATGACATGCGGATTCAAAGGAGTAAAACTCTTTTGTAAATTGACAGAAAATTTCACCTTGGAAAGAACTGCCCTGCAAAAAGAGGGACGAATAGGCAACCCAAAAACGCGTATTTGAGATTCTTCCAATCCATCAAGTAAAGCCCTTTTTGCTACCTCCTCAGCAGGGCAATACAATCGATTGACTCCAGGGTGAAACCTATCCTTAAAAAGAGTTTTAACAGTTAGACCGAATATATGACATGAAAATAGTGCTAGTTGAAACACCAAATTAAGTTACTGAATATTTACCATGTACGGTGGCAAGTACTAAGATCTGTAATAACTGTGACAAAGATTACTTTCTTTTGTAGGCCTTGCCATTTTAGAACCCACAAAGGAATATGTTGCATAAGAGGATGAACACTAATGATTATGTCTGGCTTATACTCCATCAAACCAGCTTCTACCTCCCTTCAATTTTTACAAAGCAACATTTAGTAAATCTCATCAATGGTAAGATACCAACTAGAAATTTAGTAAACGAATAGAAGAAGATTCATCCAAATGCCGAGGAATACTATATTGATCCAATATCTTTGCATAGCATTAAAAAGTCCCCACTCTTGCGTACAATTTAAGCAAACATGTCAGCAATCATTTTTAATATCTGAGTAATGAACAAATGAGACAAGTTGCTATTTGTAAAATGAGAAGTATGAAGTATTAAAAGAAATGATTAAAGAATACTGAATGCATTCAAAAATAAATATTACCATTTAAAAAAAAAGATGAGTTTGTAGTTATCTTTTTTACTTGCACTTTTTTTTTGGTAATGATGATAATATGAGTTGAGCTAAATGAAAGGAATGAGGATTCATATCGCTGAACCGACTTGTTTGGGACTGAGGCCTAGTTGTTGTTATTAAAAAACGATGAATTTTTAGTGCAAACCTAACTGGCGTATCGAGGAGTATCAAAGGAAAATCATTTATAAAACAAAGAAGTCATTGGGGTATTACGCCAAAAGAAAATCGTTATTGACCATTCAAAGTTATCAAATTTCTACAGCTTTGGAAGAAAGGTAAAACCAAAGAAGGAAATATACTTGGCATAGAAGGCGGCAATGGCAGCAAGATAAGCAGAGTGTATCCACCGAGGGGACGTGCTGTGAAATGCAACTCTCCAAAGTTGCACATGTTTAACCATGAACTTATATTGTTGTTCCATGCTATTCAATGGCCAACCAGTGTATTCCTTCCAAACATCCTTCACAAATATCTGTTAAGAATAAAACATATCAATACAACATTAAATTTAAATATGAAGTCGAGGTAGGCCTATACAGCAAAGACTATAGGATGTGATTAAATGAAATAGCACCTAAGCACGCACTTTTTGTTAAACCTAACCAAGTCAAAAATTTATCCTAGCAAAGTAGTTAAGCTAGCAGAAGAAAGATGGCAACCAGATGGGATCTCCATAAACATGATAATTATGTAAGTCAAAGCAACAAGAACATAGTTTTGGATTGATTTTGGAGACACAGCCAAAAGGAAATAACACAAATTGGAGGTCAAACCTATATTCTACTCAACATCCTTTAACTTTCAAGAGCTAATCAGAAATGCAAAGCAGAATGTGACATCAAAAAGGGCAGTCCGGTGCACTAAGCTCCCGCTATGTGCAGGGTCCAGGGAAGGGCCAGACCACAAGGGTCTATTGTGCGCAGTCTTACCCTGCATTTCTGCAAGAAGCTGTTTCTACACCTCGAACCCGTGATCTCCTGGTTATATAACATCAACTTTACCGGTTACGCCAAACTCCCCTTAAAGCAGAATATGACATCAAGTTACAAAAATACATAATTCCTCAAAGTTATGCCATCAAGTTTCAAATTTGAGGATTATGACAATAAACTCAATGATGCACATAGGACCACATGAATTGACATTACATTTCCAAGCAAGGGCAAAATTTCCAAACAAAAAATGCAACAAACAAAGTAATTCAGATTAAATAGCTAGAAAACCAGATAAGATAAAACTTTACATTATACTCGTCCCCAAATTCCAAATGGAAAGCATCGCGAATCGCCTCAGCTGAAGCTCTATGTCCACCTCCTGTATCACTCATCAAAATAAGCACATTTTTGGTCCTTTCAGCACCAATTTGCACCATTTCCATTGTATCATATTCTTCATCTTGAAATTCATTATTGCACCCCTTTGTGCTGCTCCCTACAAACCCATAAACCCCAACTCTTTCCAATACATTGCTTATTGGATTCATAGCAGAAATCACCTCCATCACCACCTCCTTTTCTCAATATCAATTCTTGAAATCTCTATATATACAAATTGGTATAAAGTTCCAATTTTTATTCTTTTTCTTGGAAATGTATATCAAAATTAAACACCAACTCAGATAAAGAATTGAAATTCACCACCCCTTTGACCTAAAAAAGTTGGTATAAAGTTCAAAATTTTTAATTTTTTTTGTGGGAAATGTATATCAAAATCAAACACCAACCCAGGTACGTAAAGAAATCAAATTTCCAAGGAAATGATGAATTCACCACCCCTTTGACCTGCCGGAAAATGGGTATTCCGGCAAGATCAAAGAGTTGGTGAAAAAGAAGAGAAAATGGCAACAAAAATGCACAAAGGGTTTATGAAATTTCAAGAAAATGGAAGAATTGGACACCCTTTAAAGGGTTCTTTAGAGAGTATAAAGTATGGAGAAATGGGGTTGGTTTTTTTCTGTTAATGAAAGGACAGAGAAGAGAGAGATGTGGAGAATGGTGCTATTTTTAGATACTCGAATGATGCCATTTGGGACATATTTGGTGGCAGTGTTTAGACTTTAGAGGAATTTATTGGCGTTGGATTCGCATTTTGGGCAGATTCGAATATTTGTTGGAAAAAAACAAATAATTTGAACATTTATTTTACCATATTTTTATTGGTCGATAGTAATGTTTTTTTCTCTCTCTTGTAATCCTCTATGTTCCGGAGAGACTCTATTTCTACCGTCAAAGATTGTGGTCAGATGAATAGTATCACTTGTCTCTTAATTAGAAGTATCGGATTTGAGTTTTGGGAATATAAAAATTTTTGTAGGGAGTAGTTCTCCTTTTAATCGTTACGCAGTGTGAATCTGAATTAGTCAGATCTCCAAAGCAAGTATCAAATATTGTGTGGAACAGTAAAAAAAAAAAAAGGCATTATTTTCTTATTAGTGTGTTCCAAAAAAATACATTTCTAAATTTGAAAACAATTTATACCCTTAAATAGAAATTTCTAAAGCCACACACATGTTATGTTATGTTTAAGATCACAAGTTTGACAAGTTTTAAAGTAAACGTTATGACATGTTTAACATCACAAATCTTAAAAATCGATCTTTTTTTTTTATAAATTTTATGTCGAGTCAAACGACGTAACATAAATTGGAATGGAGATAGTACATTTTTGAAGTGGTGCGTAATGGATTTTTTAAAATAAGACATTATCTCCTAAACAGTTGTTAAGCCCATGCAAGTTGGTGTTCACCATTTGCTTTGACAGGTGTGTGCATTCATTTTTAATGAATTATTCATAATCTTCCTATATATGGTATAGTTTTCATGGGCCATAGCCAAGTTTATTGAGCTGTATTTTTCTAATTTAAGTTCCCTATCTCCTTTTTCTTAAACTATATATTCAATATAAGAAGCAAAAATTGATTAATTTGAAAAAAAAGAAAGTATATTTTATGTATACAGTCAAAATCGGGCATGCCTAATTTTGCTGATTGATGATAGGCTATAATTGCATATTTTAGTCGCTTATTACACTCGAATTTACTGCACTTTAATTGAGTTTGCGCTTTAATCGCTAGTGTTTTGCACTAATCGTGTGTTTTATGCCTTGTAGGTGTGATTCCGAGCTATATAGATGTTATGGAATGAATTTAAGTGATTTGAAGCTTTGAAGTCTGAGTAAAAGCTCAAGGAATTAAGCCGGGATCGTGTTCGGAGGTCAAATTTTATAATTAAGTACGAACGAAGACTTGAGGAGGCATATTGCGCACTGTCTAGTAAAATAGACATAACTTTTTGCTCAGAACTTCATTTGGGCTCCACAATATATGGTTGGAAAGCTAACTCAAAGGGCTACAACTTTCATGTTTTACGTTTTTCCAAATTCCAAACGGAATAGGGTGAAAAATCGCGGTTTTGCCGCGACCGCGGCAGAACCGCGGCAGAAGATGGTCGCGGACAACTGAAGAATCAGAGGGCATGTTTGGCCGCGGTTCCACCGCGACCGCGGCAAAACCGCGGCAGGAAGCAAAAATTTCAGGGACTAAAGTGCAAAACATGGGATTTTAAGTCCTAAACCCTATATTAAACAAAGGAGGCCGGCCAAGAACAAGAAGGGGACATATTTTGAGACATAGATTCGACCTAAGGAGGCAAGAACACATTGGGAGCAAGGCGGAGAATTCTTCTACGAGTTTTTCCTTCCTCTTCCTATTTTTCATTGTTGGTTATGACTTTTAGTATTGTAGTTTTACATACTATTATGAATAGCTAATTTGTTATCTAGAGTTTTGATAGAACCTTTTGTAGGATAAATTCTTGTTATGTTTTTATATAATTGAGCCATAGCTTTTCTCTATTTGTTCAACTACGTTTATATTCTAGTTGATTGAAGAGCTCTCAATTAGCTGTGCCTATTTAGTATGCATAACTCGGGAGAGAGTGCATATTTAGGTAATTGTTGAACAACACCACTCCCAGAGTATATGAGGGATCAATAACCGAGGGTTTAAAGGCGGGATTAGGGATAACGAAGCCTTGGGTGCGATCTAAAGTGAGCTGTATTAAAAGCCAGCTAGCGTAGCTCGGGAGAGTGCGTCAAGTAAATTGTCGTAATTACTCGGGAGAGATTTACGGTAATTAGAGTGCTCATGGTTGGTAGAGAATACTTAGGCGAAATTATAGAAGACATAGCGGGAAGGATTCCGACAATTGAAAAAATCATAACTCTAGACCTCCTTAACCTTGTCTCTAAACCTTAGTATATTTAGTTGTTAATTTACTATTTTAAATTGTTAGTTAAGTAGTTAAACACAAGAATCTTAATATCTATAAGTTAGGAATTGTTCAAGCTTGTCTTCTTGGTGATAGTGAACAGTTGTAGCTAAACCTTAGTTCTCTGTGGGATTCGACTCCGGACTTGTAGACCGGATTATATTTGCAACGACCGCATTGTCCTTTTTATAAGGCATAGTTGGGCGTGATCACTGATTAACCGGAACCAGGGAGATGAGTTGAAGATCGGCCAGTAGCACGTCAGACCGAGATACGAGGATAAGGTACCGAGTTCGGGATTCGAGGTACCTGTCGAGATCAAGACCAGTAATGATCGAGATCGAACTCGAGCAAGACCAAAGATAGCGTAATAACGGAAAGGCGAGATATCCGTAACTGGTCAAGAATTACAGCGGAAATCTCAGAACAGATCAAATCAAGGACGGTTATTTAGCTAATCGTGAGATTTCCTTCTGTAATTAGAATTATACCGTAAATAGGTTTCCTCTACTATATAACGAGGGTCTTAACCATTTGTAATCATCTTATATTCACGCATATCAAAGCAATATATCACATTTTTATCTCTTGCAAGCTCCATTGTTCAGTTCTTATTTTTAATAGTTCGTTCGACTGGTTCGAGAGCAATTAGCTCAAAGGTCGTAATTGTTTATCGCATTGGTTTGCTTATTTTACTGTAGTTTTTATCATTAATTCTTACATTTTTCAGTTTGTGCGAAATCAGGATAAACATTTTATATTAGGAAAAAACATGCTGATTTCTGTTCAACAAATTTCAACGTATACTCATCCTATTAATCAGACCTCCTATAACACCAGCTTCTTTTTTACAATAATATAATATTTAAAACGTGCACTCAGTATTTTGTATTTTTGCACATAACGGACAAAAAAATGAAAATATAAGAAAGTTCAATATATTGCAGGGTGTTCTGTGTGTGTAACACACACACATGCATACGTACACTACTTACTTTAAGTTTCAGACTCATATATTTTCGATCCGTCCAATTTATTTAGTGAACACGCAATGAGTTTATCTTAAATAAGTAACTTTGCCTTAAACTCTATTATATAAGTACAAATAATCAATATATTTCGAATCAAAGTAAATTTGATGGGGTGTGGTAAAATTTTGAGTCCAAACTCATGAAATCCTTGTTGTCAACCTGTGTTCGAAAATAATTTTTGCAAAAAATAGAATAAAACAGAAGCAGAATAAATAAATGTTCCGAGCGACAATGGAAATTACAGAACTTCGTCGAACTCAACAAACGGCGCGAGGCACCACTTCTTCTCAATTCTTTAAGAGCTAAGCACAAAGATTTTCTTTCCATTTTCCGATTAGGGACAAAGTGCATTAGTAAAGGAAATACTTCAAACTTTTCGTTTCTCTCTAAATCTTTTCCCTCCATTTCCGATTCACACCTCTTATCTAATTAGATAAAAACCCAGCAATCTTGAATTCGCCTTTAATTATTGCTAGTTAGTAATCAGTTTCTTAAGAGCATGTTATTAAGGATACACTTAAAACTTGTGGAATTTTATAGTATGTCATAACATTTAAATGATCAAAAGAGCATGTTATTACGGATAAAATGAAAATTTTAAAGTTAAAGAGTTTTTAATCGTAGAAGTGCGTTATTCTTTCTAAAACAGACTAAAAGAAAAGATTATCATATAAATATGGAAAAAATTACGCCTACTTTGGTCTTCAAGACATGTTTTGTCTAGAAACATACACATTTAGAAAACAAAACATAACAAATCTCTCAAAATAAAACGAGAAAGACAGAATAAAATCAGTTTTCTAACAGTAGCACTTTATACTCATTGCTACACGAAGTATGGATTTAATTCGTATAATCTCTTGATTTACATTTAACATGACCTCAATTCTAAGATCAGAATACATTATAAATATTTACTGAGGAGAAAACACTGAAAAGTTCATACATAATAAGCTAACTGATTCTTGATTCCTCGTTAGCTGCATTTCCCTTACAATACATCTGGTCTCCAAATGATGACACGTGCATCCACTGCCTTGGATTCGAACTATATATATACACGTACATAGATTTTATCAAAACTTTTAGACATATTGTAATATCCTAGGCGAATCTCATGACATCGACAAAACACGGGAGTGATGTTGGTTATATAATAAACAAGTCTTAGGCCTTAATGACGTGTTTTAAAGCCGTGCCGGTCTAGGCCCAAAGCAGACAATATCACTTGTAGTTGAGATGTCATATATGGCATCGAGCCACTCCGTGTGCAATCTTGAACGATGATGGGGCAAACCTCAGCGTCCTCGCTGAGTCCCTAAGGGGGGTGTTTGTGACACCCTAGGTGAATCCCACATCGACAAATACGAGACAGATATTGAGTATATAAGTAAACAAGCCTTAGTCCCTAATGACACGTTTTAAAGCCATGCGGGCCAAGACCCAAGACGGACAATATCACTAGTAGGCTGGACTGTTACACATATGTATATATAGTAAACTATGCACTCACAGGTTTCCAAATCCTAGCTCCACGTCTGAGATTATTGATATTCAGGTACAAAAGCGAACCTACTCGATCAGTCCAAGACAAATTGGGCAACACAGTTTTGTGACAACAGAAGATGCCTACTCTTTCTGGTTTCTGAAGTTCACTTTGCCTAACTGTCTGATCGAAAATGCAAAGGAAGTCAAGTGAGAAGCTGTAAAGAGTATCAATGGTGTCCTTCGATTCTTAAAGTTGA